ACCATACCCGTATAAGTTGTTCAAGAGAAGACAATAGCACGTTAATTCTTTTTAAAGAGATAAAAACTACACTTCACCATATTGGCTAAGTTTTACCTTACACTGATCACACCCGATATACCCTCCTCCTTGTCGATTTACCAGTGTATATGATTCGCATGACGGGTAATATTTTGAAATGAAATTTTCGTTGCAGAGTTCTTGACAGGTATTAATACATTTTTGTTTTTAAGTTACGAAGGAAGTTATTGTCTAAGTGCTAAAGAACGGACCATTATCCGGACCAGGGAAAACTGTTTTCCTGGATCCGGCGTCTGTATCATTGTCCTTGTTTAACTTCAGGTTGAAGACGTAGCAACTCCCATACGTCGTGTTTGCGTACGGGAAAAATAAGCTGAAAAGGAAAAGGATTCAACAGTGAGTCAATCAATATTTCCTAAGGGAATCAAGAAATACTCTTTGATATGACCTTTGACAGTCGACGCCCTCGTAGGTGCAGCTGCGGATGAACTTATCTTTATCTTGCATAAGGTCTATCTTTTTCTCTTCGGTCAGACTTGATAGAAGAAACAAATAAGAATGTTCTGCAACTTTATCGGTTGTGAAGCTCTTGCCTCCGTCAATCTGAAACGGGGCAGACAATTCGGTCTTATTTTGAAAGCAAATTAAGGACTACAGGTTCTTCTTCTTGAATACTTACTCCGACCCCGATGTGACCTAGTTCCCTGAGTTTCTATTAATAATAGATTCCTAATGCATTTCAAGGAAAATAATGCTGTAGAAAAACATAAGACGGGGTGGCACGAAAACATTTCGTGATTTGTATTATGTTGGAATAAGATGAACGACATTCATCCTTGCAGTTGGATTCAAATCAATAAAAATGATCCCATGGAAATATTAATGATTCCATTTTGCTAATGCAATCTTTCTAATGCATCCATGATCCTTTGTTGTAGGGTTTTGAACGTCATTTCGCTCGCGAAATCTTTGATGGGAATCTGAGTTTCTTCCTCTTGAGCTTTTTCTACCGAAAGGGAGCTACTTAGCTCTCGAAATGTGTGGAATCAACACGATTGAGTGAAGTAAGGATTATGAAAAAATACTAGATAATTTACTAAAGGAGGAAGAAGATGTGTTATTTCTAGTAAAATGGGGAATGCTTGGGGAATGTTAGGTTGGAACCGGCGAAATTAATAAAGGTTATTCTATACGTTGCTTAGGCTGGTAGGTAGTTTGTAGGCACGGTAATAAGCGTGATGTCTTCTTTCTCCATGATGTTGCAAAGACTCAATGGCATTACTATTCGCCATAATCGCATCATGGAATATTTATTTTCTTATAGTCTGTATGTAAATATTGCTGGAAGAGCATCTCACTTGGTGTGAGAAATACATATAGATATGTGGAGACAAAAAATATCGCATAACGCGAAGAGGGTTGCGATTACTATCAATTTGCCAATATATAATCTAATATATATAGACGATCGTGACTGACTGACTGACGCTAATTCTAACCATGTTCTAGAAAGGTGAGAAATCAGAAACTTGGTACACATGTACCCTTTGGGATGCAGAGTTCAGAAAAAATCTGACTTTGGAGGTACATGCCCTAGGGGTACAACTTTTGGGGGAAACGTTTTTCTTCCATATACAGGGTGCGTCAGCTATTTGAGAACAAAATTTGACTTTGAGGAAAACAATAATATTCATCAGAAAAACCAATATATTTTGAAAGAATTTGGTACACATGTTCTTACATACATATAACAAAAGGCTATTCAATAAAACCACCTCCAACCTCAATTACGGCCTCGATGCGGCGTCTGAAACGACTACATGCGTTGATTAGGTGATCCTTATTCATGTTTGCCATAATGTCCCCGATGGCAGCCTTCAACGATTCCTTGGTATTATGGGCATGCTTGTTGGTCTCCCTCTCAACGACGCCCCAGACTTAGTAGTCCAGGGCGTTTAAATCAGGAGAGCTAGGAGGCCAAATGTTAGGGGTAACATGAACGTGAAAATTTTCGGCCAGGCACTTCTGGGTCGTGCTAGCTGTGTCAGAGGGAGCAGAGTCTTGCTGGAACACGAACGGCCTCCTCCGAGCCGAGACGCTGTCAAGCCCTGGATTGAGGGAGTGGCTCGGGGGATATGTATATTGTGACAGAAGAGTGTAGTAGTAGCATATCTGACAGGCAATCAGAAGGTCCGTGTTCAATTCCCGGCCATTCCTTGGATTTCCTTTGGCTTCTTTTGCTTTCCATGGCCCGTTACTCATTCCCCTTCCATAACATTATTTTTGCTTGATTAAAACGCAGAGACATGGAAAGCTGGAACCTGGCATGGAGGTGCCCACCGAGACGATGCATTCAGGAAAATTGGAAAATTTTAGATCCATACCCTGGGGGATTTTCTTTTGGGGCAGACGTTTCCAAGTATTTTTTTTGCTCTGGCGTATTGAGCTAGTATGGAAAGATGAAACTTGTTACATAACTACCTAATAGGATGCTGCAGAAAAATTCAGACTTTGGAAATAAATGTCCGGGGGGCAAAAATTTCAAAGGGAGATGTATTCAAATAATTTTTTTGCACCAGTTACACTGATGAACATGGAAAACTGAAACTTTATATGAATGTGCCTACTGAGACAAAGAGTAAATAAAAATGTTAAGTCTCGATACATCCCTTGGGGAAATTTTTGCGAGGGGCGATGTTTCGAAAAAAAAAATTGTTGTGGCGAATTGGACAGAAATGGAAATGTGAAACTTGGCACACGTATAAGTGACATGATATTCCTAAGCTGAGGGAATATTCTACTTTCATGGTGCATCCTCTCTGGGCATAGCTTTTGGGTGGGTCGGCTTTTCCAAGCATGTTTTTTCACCAGCGAAAATTGCAAAAACTTTGAAACTGTGGGCATGAAGTTCACTGTGGATGGATTTCATTAAAATAAAAGGTACTTTTCAGTTAAAACGGCTCAAGGCACATATTTTGCAAAAGGCGTATTTTCACGAATTTTCTGATCCAGGAAAATAGAGGGTGCATGAGAGTTTAAACCTGGCAAAATACCTGACGTATAGCTGAGTAAAGAAAAAATTATTCTTTTACAATATTTAGACGATCGTGAGTAGCTGACTGACATAAGTAACTATTCACATGCTGAGTTCAGGACAAGTTCTACTTTAGTGATACATGCAATAGGAGCACACCTTTCGGAGAATATATTTTCAAATGTTTATCTTTGCTCTAATCAAAAGGAGACAAATGGAAAGCTGCAACTTGGCAAGAACGTGACCGCTAAGGCATTGAGCTCAAATGTCAAATGAAAGTTTTCCAAAATATTATTTGGGGACAATCATTATTCTTGGGGACGTATCTTCATCGAGAAATATTTCATGTCCTACCGAATCGGGAAGAAATGGAAAAGTAGCTGGCGGACGCATATAACGGACTTGATGTTGATTTAAGGAAAAATTCAACTTATTTGTGCGTTTCCTCAGAGTACAGCTTTTGGGTGGGTCGCTTTTCCAAATACATTTTTACCGCCAATAACAAGGGGAAACGTCTAAAGCTGAATCTGGGTAGCATGGAGTTCCCTGAGTCTGCATTTCAAAAGAAAGAACAATTTCGTTAATACCCATCGGGCATTCTTTTCAGTCCTATTTTCCTATTTTTTTTATTCAACGAAAGAGAAACAGAAAATGTAAACTTCCCTCAGAAGTACCTGTTTGATGGCTGAGTACAGGAAAAATCTTACTTTTGAAATGTCTCCTTAGCATAGATGATAGGAGGGACGTATTTCTAAATGCATTCAGCAACCTTGCAAAAAGGGGCACAAGAAAGGATTTCAATTTATGCACCCATAGAATCATAGAAGTAATGTATTTGTCAAAAATCTAGACGTTCATCCCCAAAAGTCACGTATTTCAATGGGGACGTACTTTAATTCCGTGTTTCCCATTTGGGAAAAATGAATGAATTAATCACTATCCAAGGTAATAGAGCGCCGACGGCGCGACCACAGCGAGTTTGTTTGCCCGAAGGGCAAACAAAATCGCTAGTATATATATATTTTATTTATTTATTTATTTATTTTTAATTTATATATATATAATGCCTTTGGCCGAATATATTGACAGTTGATCATCGCCAGCCTTCGCCACGTCCACAAAGTGTTAAGTTCCAAGAGATGCCTGAAATTATCAATAATATTTTATTTCTTCCTGCTGATGGGCAGCAATTGTCAGTCGATTGTAAACGGTCGGATGCTCTAGATGTGGCACTGCCAAGGTTTTCATTTATAATTAATGTGCAGAGTCCTAGTGCTTGAGGTTCACGTATGATTGAAAAACACCCCATGAAGACTCGCCGATGAATTTTCCCTTCCCAAACCGCGTTATTGGGCAAGGTTCCAAGCCAAAGTCTCCGTCTTGTCATTTTTACCTCATGTAACCGTATCGTACTTGCATAATTGCTTACAAAAATCGCGATGGCTTACTCATCTTCTCCATATAGAATGGGTTTCCCACTCCCAGAGCTGGTTTTGTTCATGCAAAAAAGAATTATTTTCATAAACATCCGAGTTTCTCTCTAATATGCAGGAAGGGTTTCTCTTTTACCGGTAAAAATATGCCCATGTTCTCCGTCCAAAGATGTTGAAGGCAGAGAAAAGTGAGTGATTACGCTCAGAAAAGTTCCACCTCTGTAAGTAAACTTCCAACACAGTTACATGAGTGATTCTCACTGCGCCTAGTGCAAATATGCATTCATTGCGTACTTTCTGGCTCTATCGTGTGACCGATGATATTCAGGGAATTTTGAAATTCATCCCTGTTGGTATCTTTAGGTTTCGGATTCAATAGAAGGAGATATGATATGATTATAGAAATATGGAGACATGGTTCTAGAAATAAATCCTTCCACTTGAAGGGATATTTTAGCTCGAATTCTGTAGTCGAAAAACGGAAGCATAATGGACACACCTTGGATGTGTTCTGTCCAGTAGATGCCGTTCGATTTCCGCTGGATTCCGTCAGGTTTTTAATTTGGGCGTTCTCATCTCTGCTTTCGCACCCTAGTATCTGAAAAGAGGGTGATGTGATGTATCATTTGTCTCGTTGGTTTCATTTTCAGAAGTGATACTTTTCAGGTATCCTGGGATGGCGTGAAGCTTGCGTTGCAGTTGAATATTTTATTTTTTTTTAATTTTGGCCTTTTTGAGTAAATGGTAGTGAGATGGCAGCACTTTTTTTCCTTTGAATTGATGTGGCGAGAAAGGGGGAAGAAATTAAATGTTGACTTGACTGTAGTGAACGTTCAAAAAGGACAATGGGTATAATGCAGGAGTAAAATAATATTTTCTTATTGTGAAAAGAAGAAAATAACATTAAACTATATTCTTTGTAAGGGAGTGAATGTTACCGAGATGGTCATCAAGCGGTAAAACTTGAAGCATGGGTTGAGTCCAAATTTTACATAGTCGTGTTACATTTTGAACTTTAGGTATTGCCAATTGCACCAAAGACACTGATTCCTTTTATTTGGTAATCTTTATTATTTTCGATTCGATTTCTATTTGAATCACGGAATGGTGGGATGAAACATTATTCAGAGGTAAAATCGTGCCCGTAATGGATTTCGAATCTGTGTAAATACCTTTGCAAAGTCTGAATTTGGTTCGACCTTGGAGCATGGGAAAGGCGAGAGGTTGCATACGGTCACAGCTGGGAAATTGAGGAATTTTGGCTGAGTCATGGACACTGTCGTCGACACGGAATACTGCAGATAGGCCGAAATCACACCATAGAGACCCTGCCACGAATGAAGCCAAATAAAATAAAAACGCACATAGTTGGCATAGTGAGGTAACCATCGTTAATTACCGATCACTACAAATCGGGTGCATAGGCGCTAAAATTTAATTGAAATGGAACTCACGTAAATGGTGGCACCGATTGCGACCAAGGTGATGACCCACCAAATAGATTTCCGAAATGAATGAGTGGCTCTGCTGGCATTGCTAATGCCATTAATCTGGGTCGTATTGCAGAATTCTCCCAAAACGTTCCGTATTGGCGAGTGCCATCTCGTCATCTTATCACTCTCCCGCAGGAAGGCTACTGACTGCTGCAAGGCGGGCACAAAGGAGGGAGGAGACATCGGAAATTATGTGCGGTCAGCCCCTTTTCCCCGATTTTATCGATCCTAGGAAATGACTTTCTTTTCTGCGTCGTCTGGTCCCTTAAAGAGGGTCTTCCTTTCGAATGTGTATCCTTATACTCTTACATTTTGAGGCAGGCTTCGAGGTAGAAAAATCTCTTGTGCACGAGGATTTGTTTTTGCTTGTCACAATCACATTGGTCGAGCCCTATTAGTTACTGGAGAAGAATGTTGCAATTCGGACAATGGTGTCATCAACTTGTTCATCAAAACCTTCTGATGATTGAGATGACTGCATTTCACTTCCCAACGTCCTGCTTCCATTTCCTTTTACAAAAATATTTGGTATTTCTTATTGCAATGTTCTCGTCTTTGTTCATGAAAACGTCGCATTGATTCACAGAAGAAGCTTTTGTTTCAGACCGACACAGACTGAAATCGGAACCAAGTAAGACCATGGCCAAATACTCCTGACAACAGTCAGAATGCCATCCACCCTACTTTTGTTCCCGGATTCATAAAATATATACATACGTTCTTCATGGTGGTCCTAATTGAATTGAGGATTAATATATTTGTGATGAAACACTTTGACCGGGAAAGGGCATCTAGTGACATCTGACATCTAGTAGAATCCCAATCCTTAGCATTCTCGGGCAAGCAATTTGCCACCCGACGTCTGATATTGAAAACGAAATAGGAATACTTTGCTCGGTTCAACTCCTAACGTAAGATTCTGATGCTTTAAAATCTTGGCAAAAAAAACGGCACAAGAAACCGATTGGCAGATGATTATTCAAATGAACAAAACTTATTTGTGCATTCATCAAAAAATTAACTTGATTCCCTGTCCAAATAATATTTATTACTACAATCTGGGAGACCGTTCGGGTGGGTACACAATGAAAGGAGCCGAATCATCTTTCGACCCAAACAGCGGTCGGTGAAACAGTAATTGGATTGATATTTTTAAATATTAAAATAAACCAAATATTAACCCATAAGAATCCCACTTCTCCATGCTTAGACACAGGAAACCCGTGGATATGTGTTGTCTGCAATCATCGCATTCACCGCACGGAGAGGCGACGCGCGAGCACTGAGAAATTATTCATGTCAGTGACCGGCCTCCTGGGAAACTGCCAGGCACAAAAGGGCCCAGCGACACAATAGTAACCCTATAATTTCGGGGTAATTGGTCGATATCGTAATTACTTTAGTCTGTACGAGAAGTCCTTCGTACTTGCACGGTATAAGTCTCACCTGGGCATAGGTACTTCGATGAATATGTAAAAAATTCGGAAGAGAAGGGATATGTACAAAAATATGAAAATATTTGGACGATCGTGACTGGGTGAATGACTCACGCTAATTCCAAGGAAGTTGGTGACCTGGGAGAGCGTTAAAATAGGTATGCAATAAATTTTCAGGTCCTGAGTTCAGGGAAAATCCCACTTTGGAGGTACATACTCCAAGGGCACAGTTTTCCGTGAAAACGTTTTTCAGCGAACTAGGTAGATACTGAGAGCTGCGATTTCGCTCACAAATTGTTGTTGAGAATGTTGAGTTCAGGAAAATTCTGCTTTCGAAGTAATTTTTAACTCTTGGGGGTAAAACATTGTTAGTTTTTGGGCTTGGATTACATCTATGCTGATAACTGAAAAGTCCGAATTTTGAGGTACAGGCCCCGAGTGTTCATTTTTTATTTTCATTGGGCGATTTCTAAAAATTTATTTTTGCGATAATGAATCGGGTTGTACAGAAAGGTGACAGTGGACACATTAGCAGCTGTTTTGGGTGTTGATTTAGGGAAAATTTTCCACGTTTGGATAATATATTTCTTAGAGATGAATCTAGTAGGCTACGTTTTAAATATTTTTGGCTTATGTGAATAGATATGATCGAAACGTGAAATTGGAATGACGAGTTTGACCATATTTCAGATGAAAGGCTACTTTTCCTTTGCATTTATTGCGGAAAAAATATTTATTATTTTTATTTCATTAATATTCCATAGCGTCCATAGCGAGTTTGTTTGCAAGTTTTGAGAGTTTACCGATATTCATACAAGTTACCTTCAAAAAGTTTCCGGACTTATTTTATTTCAGCATTTCACGGACACTTTGGAACAATTACAATGCAAATTCACTGAAAATACCTTAAAGCCGAAAGAGAACTCATGATATCGGAAAGTAGTGTTCTGGGTCAATTGTGACCTAAGTTTTACTTAAAAATAAATTTAAAACCTTTGCCTCCCTTTTGCTTGATGAGGTTACACTTTCGAGGAAGTCCAGTGTCAAGATAGAGCGTTCATATATCATAAGATCGGTATACTGCATTAAATATAGATATTTCCAGGAAGCATATCCTGGAGGTCTATCGACTGGGAGTTTGCTCCAATGCATTGGTTCGGGAAGTTCCTCTAATCTTTTCTTTCAATGGGCAGGGTTGGAGCTGGAGTTGTATTTGAACGCAAGCCAGTGGCCATCGAATGTCATCGGAAGGAGGCGTTCGTGTTGTCATCCACCGACCCAGTAACCTCCCTTCCCCCGATGAATCCGGATTCAATGCTCGGACTGGTTCATCAACCGAAGTGACTCTTAGACAGGTCAAGTCCGTAACTGTGGAATATAAGAAGTACTCGGTGCATCCATGAATGAAGGAAGGAATTTCACAAAGTGGGAGATGACGAATGCAGCATGTAACGCCAATTTCGTTACATATGGAAATGTTGGCTATGCAAGTAAATGAAAATGTTTAAGTAAAATGTGGTAACGGTGACGCAGTATGAGGGTACTATTGTTCGTAATTGTAAGTTAACTGCAATGAATTATATCTTGCAATATTTTTAATCCGTACTCATACATACACGTTCTTCCTATTTCTACGAAGCATCCACAGACTGTGTATTTGCGTAGGTGGAAGTGTCGCGGCTGGCATATCCGTATGAAAATGACTGCTACAATTCCTGGGACCAGTGTGGTTATTTCCCAGCCCGACTCCACCCTCGTCGACTATGATTCCCTGGTAAGATTTTTGCGAATAAAAAATAATATTCCCATAACCTCGACAGGAGAATCAATCATTTTGCCAAACATGTCATAATGATGAAGCAGTAATGGTGATGCAAAAACTTATATTGGAAGACACCATCATTTGTTGAAATTTCTTGAAAGAAAAAGGAAAAGAAATAACTTGTGCCGGTCATTATTACTTCAGTGCAGAACAAAGAACAAATATTTGCATTTCAGACTAGCATCGCCACCTGACATATACGAAGGCGGAGGAGCGTCCAACTAAGCAGGCATTGAATGGCTTTCCCATAACTTTATCTAGGATCGTCTATACTTTCGTCGGTACTTTTCAAAGGAAGTGCAGTAACTTGCTGTATATAGATAAGAGGTCACAATAAATTCTTTGCTTTCTTTTTCAATCGAGTGTAAGCACCTCCAGAGTGAAAGGGAATTGATAAGAATTTTCATGCATGTGGGCGCAGATGTGCAGGCGGATTTGTGCACAGGCGACGATCTTGAAGAACTGTTCTTGCAAATTCCCATACATCCAAGACTACTTCATCTTTTCGGATGGGGAGTTGGATGGAAGCCCCATTTGCGACGTTCGATCCCTCGGTCCGCCTCTTTCACCAATCGTTTAGGCCTACTCTTAGTCCTACTCTAAAGTATGCTCGTACGCACGAAAATGTTAAATCTGCATGTGAAAGCATGCGTGGAGGGATCTTTCTTCACAGGAGGTTGGAGGGATCTTTCTTCATTTGTGTTTCCTTTCCCGCTGAGCCCTTTAGTTGCTTCCATATTCCATTCCGTAGACGATTTCCCTCGGTGGATCACTATTGCAAAATATGACTATGACAATTTCAAATTTCAGTTCATCACACATGTTCGGGGCATTTTAACCCATCCCCATCCAGTTAATTTTTCCTTAAAAGCTCTTTAAGTCTCCCAAGATTAAAACCTTTCATACCCCTCCCCCCCCAAACTAAAATAACTGCATTTCAATAGAAACCTCTATTTACCTCATTTACCCGACATCTAGAAGAAACTGTTGGGAAATCGAATGCGTGGCACTGCATTTGTGATGATCGTGACCAAGAGCACAAGGGCGTACCAATGCGCATATGGATGCAAATGGGTCATTATTATGGGATTTGATTAAATATCCACATGTGATCGCTACGACCGCGGAAGGAAAATATATAAATGAGTAATTTCTAGGCAATGAGAGATTATTTAACTAACTACGTCCCATGACTGCACCAACCTTCCTGCTAATGTCACACGCAGTTGTTATCTGCTAATTATTTGCAAAGAAAACAATGGACTCACTTCGTGATGATCATCGTACAACTTCTTGCATTGTTACGAAGCAATTTTGCAGCGCGGGCAGTACAGTCGTAATAACTTTTCTAATTCCTCCTCACGTTTATTATTTTCCCTTGTGACCGTTGCAGATACTACGAACAGCCTGTGCATCAGCAGCGTATTTACCTCAATAGAGAACGGAAGCATCACTTGTCCTTGCCATTCAGAATGCCGGTGAGTCAGATTTTTCCCACTTACCCAACTATATTTCCATTATTTTTTAGATTTGCATAGCGCGTAAAAAAAACTCAGCTACCACCATGGATGAAATGAAATTTTATTTAAAGTGGATAACAAAGATCGCGCGAGAAAAGCAGCGCGGAACGCTTTCTGCTTCAGTTGTGCAGCATTTATATTCTTCCAGTCCTCATATCGTGAACCAAGCTCCATTTTCAGCACACAACTCCACAAAATAACATATTTTTGAATAAATTTGCTCGTGATATTCTATTTAAAAAAATAAGTTCATGGTATATCACAACTTTCAAGGAAATCAGTCGCTGGGCCATGCTCTTCTCTTGAAAATACCCGCGGTGAGCCCGGATATTTTTAAAATAATTGTTGCGTGTCGAATTTGGTCATTCCATTGGTGTAAAAGCAGAGGATCTCAGTTTAGGTCATTTCCCTCTCGTTCATAGACAAACGGAGTACAGGGCGACGGTATCATCGTCGGAATGGCCAACTGACTCTTACATGGTAAGTCTTACCATGTTAATGATCACAAACGCTCCATGCGACGAATCCCAACTTGCAATGAAATTGGTCCTGAAACTCTTCAGATGGACGCAATGAACTCCATGAATTTAGAGTCTCAGTTGCGACAGGACGGAAGTGCTCGGATGAAGTCGGAGGTGGTCAAGGTCGTCATCTATTTCTCATCGATCATGAAGGAAACGATAGCGGAATCCGCCAGCGTGACGGTGAGTCCCAACATTGTCAGGACGATTCCCTGGAGACGATATATGCCGTCGTTATTCGGTCATGACGGAGCGAGTATGCTTTCCTTCTCTCATTCCACCAGAGCACCAACCTTTTGAGCAGCCTGGGAGGTGCCCTTAGCCTGTACTTAGGAATCTCCTTGGTCATGTTCCTGGAAATCATCGAGATTATTCCCCTGATGGTCCTAGCCTTCATCAGCAAATGCTTCGGAGTCGTTCAGAAAGT